CCCCACCCCCAGTTTGCAGAACGTAACCAGTGGGAGGCTGAAATCCATTTGCAAGGTCCACGTGAATTAAGCTTCCAGAGAATCCTCTCTGTCCATAGTCTAGGGATGTGAATAACCATTCTGTCAGGCACGGAGCATGGAAAAGTTACTTATGACGGATATAGGTAGGTTGAAAGGTAACACCTAATCATTTGATCTCCCTTTTGACCCATTTTAAATTTGTTCCAATAATTAAAATTTTCTGGCTTCTTTTCCATTGAAGCCTTTCTGTTTGTTTTATCATTGCTGTTGTTTTTTCTTTCTTTCTCAATCTTGTTTTGTATATAATTTTTCTGTGAATGAAATCCAGGATAGGTAAATCTATAGAGCCAGTAACCAGATTAATAATTACCTGGGAACATGGCAAGGGAGGTTGAAAGGAAAAGGCGAGCTATCAATCATAACTACCAAAAATAAGAAAGTGTTCTGCAATGGATTGTGATGATGATTGCACAATTCTTCTTCGTGTGATTGAACTACTGGATTATGTGATGTGTATACTATATGCGAATTAAAAAAATTATCTCAGGCCAATGGTTTCAAGGGTTCTTCCAGCCTCCAAGTATCCGGGAAGTCTCGATTCAACAGGTATGTGGAATTCTGCTCTGCACTTCCTCACTGTCGATTAAGGTTCTCCTGGGGATTCTTTCATCACAATCCGAGAGCTGGGCACCATCCAGTTCTTCTGGTCTCATGACAAAAGAAGCATTTGTTCGTGGAGACAATTAGCCACACTTTCCACTCCTTCCTCCTATTTCTGACTCTCTTTCTTCCTCTGTTGCTGTAGGTAAAGAGACAACACGTTTATACGTCAGATGGTAGCTTGCAAGCTTGTTTTATTAAATCATCTTCAACGGCTGGTCTTTTCCAGAGTATTACTTGAAAAATATAGAAAATGAAAAGGTAGATGTGTTAAAACCTTACACCCTTATTTTCCTTTTACTTATCATGACTAATAATAAATCGCATTCACACACGAGCCTTGGTTTCAGAGTTGTTTGCCGTTGCTGTGTGGGGCCATTGTGTCCTCTGTGAGGACGAAGCACTGCCCGGGGCTGTGCTCGCCTCACAAGCCGGCTGTGGTGGCGCCTGTTGTCACAGCCACTGTCTCAGTCCGTCTTGAGGGAGGGCTTCTCGATTTTCACTGACGCTTTCCTTGACTAAGCAGGGTGTCACTCGCCATAGACGATTGTCATTTTATTGTTTAACAGTTTTATTGGCATTTATAACACAGCATACAATTCACAAGTTCAATCATATTAAAAAGAGTTGTAAAATCATCACCACCACTGATTTTAGCACACTTTCTTTTTTCTTGCACTCATTGTTATTAGTTTCCTTTTGCCCTGAAACCTCACCTGCCATTCTCCCAAGAAACCATTAATCCAGTTATTGTCTATCGATTTTCCTATCCTGGATTTCATATCTAGAAAAACATACCCAAGCAGTCCAACAATAACAAGTAAAACAGAGAAAAATCTCAATCAAAAAGAAAGCAAAAAATATTAAAACCTAGAACAAATTTAAAATGGCTCTAAAAGAAGATCAAATGATAAGGTGTTAAATTTTAACCTAATTGTATCTGTAAAAATCCACTCTCCAAGTAAACAGGAGGCTTAATCCATGTATATTTTCCTTTCACTTTTTTTTAATTGAAACAACTTTAAGATGGGTCAAAGAGGACATCAAATGATATTATGTTACAGCTTAACTACACAACATTATTTTCTGTTTAGATGTTTTGTGTATACCAGAAAGTGAATGCATTATGTAATCCTGTCTTCCTGGATTTAATGAAAGCAAATTCATCAAGATTTTAAAACATCAACTTGGCCATTTTCCTTTCATATTGAGAGCTTGAGTTGTAGCAGATGAAAGAGAGTAGCTTTGAACGTGTATTTGATGGATGCAAACCTTAGCAAGAAATAAAAATGCTTCTTGACTTTGAAAATAAATGGGGAAAAAAGTAACCACGCTAGGAAGGTAAGAATGAGTGGATGAACAATATAAATTATGAGAAAAGCATACACCAAATGAACATTAAGGAGTTGAAAGATGTCTTAATTGCAAATTTGAAATTGAGATAGGAAACTTAAAGTATCTTCTGATTTTGAATTTGAGACCAGAAAGAGTCATTTTCTACAGATATGTTTAATTTACAATAAGCAAAGGGCACTAAAATATTCTGATTTAAGTCTTATTGTTATTTTATACAAAGTATTTTTAACTAACATAATTTATTTCTAATAGAAGAGCAGCTTTGTGTTTGAATCTTCGACAACTGATTTATGAATTCTGCTGAGTTCAAAGGCACCCAATTTGAAATTGACATTGACCCTTTCTTTCAACATTCGTTCTAGTGCTGTCTGGTGAAAGAAATTTTGGTGACACTAGTTTAAAAGGATTTCAGCTGGTCAGTCAAGAGAAATCGTTAAACATGGCAATTTCGAAAATACTATTGGAGAGTTTGCTTCCATGTAAGTCAGAAAAGAAAATTTATAATACATTCTCATGTGAGCATAAATAAAACATTTAAACTTAGGTTAATGTAGTGAATTGTATACATTTGCTTTACAATATTTCAATATCTTTAAAACCACATTCATTAAAAAAAATCATTCGGATCAAAAAGGCATGTATATAGGGGTACACATTTTTCCTTTTGCTTCAGGCTGCAATATAGCTTGCTCTGATGCTATAGGGGCCTTTCTTTATTTAAAATGTGTTATTGTGTCCATCATAGATTTTTTTGCATTCATTTTTATTAAAAACATATTAAATTTTACTTTGTATGACTACTGAGTTTTGGTGGTGCTTTTTGTTTTGATTTTACTTTTTCTAGTGAATTGGGTCAAGGTTTACAGAGCCAGTCAGTTTTCCACTCAACTGTCCATACACATTTTGTTTCCTCTCATTGACTGCCATCCTCCAACTGTAATAACACGTATCCCCCTTCCCTTCCTTCCTTCGTTTCCTGCTTCAACTCCTTGCCTTGCCTTCTGAATGTGGTCCTCTGGTAAATGCTGCTGTTGTGATCTCAACTTGTAGAGTATTCGAAGCTGTTCTTCACTTGTGTTGTTCTTCTCCTTATAGGCTGCCTTTTGTTTGGCTGGTGAACTAGTGCTGTCTGGTGAAACAAATTTTGGTTCCAGACTTGAAGGGTGACTAAGGACCACAGTCGTGGGAATTTAGCCAATCTCTATCCGACCACTAAGCCTGTTTCTTTATACTTATCAACTAACCACTAATGCCAAATACAAAAAAAATCAATGATTTCACCAACTTCTGCTGTCTGAAATTGATCAAACATGCAACCAAGATACATTGATAATCACTGGTGATTGCAATACAGATGTTGGAAACAAAGAAGCTGAGTAGTTGGAAAATATGACCTTAGTGTGTTTTAGGGTTCAAAAGGGACCGCAAATCTGAAATGTAATGTAACGAGAAAACGTATTAAGTCTTAAACAGAAAAAGATAAGATAAAGACAAAGACACATCATTAGAATGAGGGAGAAGGAATTCAGTGAAGACTTAAACCACCCACGCGGGGCTCTGCAAGTGGATTTGGGGCTTTCCTATGTTCCGTAGCCTTTCTCACATTGAATGGTCAGATTTAATCTCTAACACAGGTCATAGAGCTAAATTGTCCTGAATTTGCTTCCAAAGAAGAGTGCTTCACTTGCCTACCCTCATCCTGGCCCTGCTGCTGTCAGTGTTGGAGCGCTGGCCTCCCTCTGCGGTTTCCCTGCACGCTTCACACTCACACTCACCTTCACGTTCAGATTCACCTTCACACTCACACTCACCTTCACGCTCACACTCACCTTCACGCGCAGACTCACCTTCACCTACTCATATTCAGCCTCAGACTCTCCTTCACACTCATAGCCACCTTCACACTCACACTCACCTTCATGCTCACACTCACCTTCACGCACAGACTCACCTTCACCTACTCATATTCACCCTCAGACTCTCCTTCACACTCATAGCCACCTTCACACTCACACTCACCTTCACGCTCACACTCACCTTCATGCACAGACTCACCTTCACCTACTCATATTCACCCTCAGACTCACCTTCACACTCATAGTCACCTTCACGCTCAGACTCTCCTTCACACTCATAGTCACCTTCATGCTCACACTCACCTTAATGCTCACACTCACCTTCACACTCATAGCCACCTTCACACTCACACTCACTTTCACGCTCACACTCACCTTCATGCACAGACTCACCTTCACCTACTCATAGTCACCCTCAGACTCTCCTTCACACTCATAGTCACCTTCACGCTCAGATTCACCTTCACACTCATAGTCACCTTCACACTCACACTCACCTTTACACGCAGACTCACCTTCATGCTCAAGCTCACATTCACACTCACACCTTCATGCTCAGACTCACCTTCACACTCATAGTCACCTTCACACTCACACTCACCTTTACGCTCAGACTCACCTTCATGCTCATACACACCTTCACACTCAGACTCACCTTCACACTCATAGTCACCTTCATGCTCACACTCACCTCCTTGCTCAGACTCACTTGCATGGAGTCAATGCTTTCTCAGAGCAACCACCTTTGGGTTACTGAGACTAACTGTTCATGGGAGTAGAAGCCCATTCTTCCTCTTGTGGAGCTGCTCATGGTTTCCAAAGGCCAACCATGTGCATAGAAGCCCACCACTTAACCACTACACCACCAGGGGTCCTGCGGTCTCCACCTAGTCTACACAAACCAACCAACCAACCAAAGACCATTGTCTTTGATTCGATTTTGATTCATGGCAACTCCATGTGCTTCAGAGCAGAGCCACTCTCTAGGGTTTTCATGGTCATGACCCTTCAGAAGCATATCCCCATACCTCCCTTCCAAAGTACTTGACAGTCTGTTCAAATATTCCATTTTTTGGTTGTTAGCGGGGTAGTGAATGTTTGCCCCATCCAGGGACTCCGTACTGACCCTGCTCTAAACACACACACACACACACACACACACACACACACACACACACACACAAACACACCCAAAAAACCATCGCTGTGGGGTTCAGCCCATCTCATGGTGACTCCATGTCTTTGAACAGAACTGCTCCATAGGATTTCCTTTATGGAAG